CCGTTTCGTTCCACTGTCTCCGAACGCTGTTTGTAGTATTAATCTACTCGCAACTCTCATGAACGACACCATCTGCGCTGAAGAAGCTGGAAATGTAATGTCAAAGAACTTGCTCTCAGTCCGTATTAAGTCTGTCAAACATTGGGATAGGTCGCTTTCAAAAATCTGGGTAGTGGTCCGATATTTATCATTGTGAATATGGGACCAGTTGTAACCTCGTGATTTATTGTGAAAGTTGATGAGTGAGGGTAAAAACTGACAACGTAGAGTTTGCAAAATTGGGCTGATTGACAAAATTGAGATTCTACGATCCTTAACAACCACTTTCAACTGAAAAGTCGCCTCCGTTTACATGTCCAGAGGCTGAAATGCGCTGTGGCCTGGCCGAGGTAGATCCAATGGAAGCGTAAGAGGTGACTGGACATAGGAACGCTTAGACATTGGCATAATCTTATGCTACGTATTGTTCATTGCCCAACTTGCTATCCGACGATCTTATGTGGAGGTCCGCCAGGAGAGTCTGGACGAAAGTTCTAAGTCTGGGGTGAGGCCTTGAGGAAGCCTTGACGGGGACAACGGCAAGAACAAGGCGAGTGTCAGAATGGCCTGACCTTTCAATTCATGGATCGTAGGATACAACCCTCCAGCGAACCGGGCTGGATGTCAGCCGATGGCGGAGGCATTCCACGCAGAATGATCAACTATTCGGCAATCTTGATTCACATAGATGTCTGCATTATATTGAGGCATTTTGTGCGGCGTATCGCTGGTTGATTCAGGTATCCTGCCTTGCCACCGGATTTTTTGCATGCGGAAAATAGCTTCAGTGTCCCAGGTAGGCACGAGGCCTTGAAGATGCCTTGGTACTCGGGAAGTGGTTCGGGGTGTGGGCGATCGCGGTTGGTATGGACCCTTTCTGTCACAGCCAAAGCGTTCACCGTGTCTAAGCGTTTCGTAAGAAGAGGATCAGTGATGGATTTGAACGGTTTCTTGTCAGTGGTTGGGACGCGAGTGGGTGGGCTCTCCTTTCTTGTGGCAAGGGGCCAAGCGGCAGGCTGGCTGGCGGAGGCGGTGTTTCAAGATCTATCAACATATTCTACCTTCTCGAATACATATTTCAATAAGCGATGCTCTGAATTAAAGCAGTGAATCCCTCGAAGTTCTACACATTCTGGGCAGAGATCGGAATCCCCCTGGCGGCAAACATTGCAATAATAACGAAGATTCCTCGTCAATGCACCACATTCGTCGCATATTGGTAAGAAGAAGTTGACCTCAGGAGCATATGTATCTAGAAGATCGATCATATTAGGTGGAATTTCGCTCGTGTAAAGTAGGTCTTTAGTTATTAGGAGTGCTGTTAGTCTTGCTCCTGGGTCTGGCGAGCGGTACCCTCTGATGATGTCGTTGAAAAATGGAGGAATATCGCCGTGGCACGGTGGCAGTTCCACAGGGTTGACGTGCTCAGCATCACACAGGATTCGTGGGAACTTTGTGCATCCGGATCTTGGACAGAGACAGCCAATAACCTCGGGCTTGTGCTCCGCCAGAAGCCACAGAACAAGCCCTAGCTGGAATACATCAGTGCGGAAGTTCACCATCGTGGGTTGTATGCCGTCAGTAATCTGTGGGTCGTTTCGCAATTCGGGGGGCATAGTGCCATTCCGATTCTGCAGGTATCGGTAGGAAGTTCGTAGTGTTAGTATAGCTGTTCCGTCTGCTCTGAGGTCGATGGTCTTCAATTTCAGCACACCTAGAGCCACGCCTTTACGATGAACTTCTGAGACTGCTTTGAATATCTGGCTTGACCAAATCTCTCGGATCTGCCATGATATGGCTTTAGATCTGAAATTTGCCAGGGCGATAATTCTTCTTAAGGAGAAAATGGCTGGGGATTCGTACAGATAGCCCTTGAGGTAACGTCTCGTGTCGTCGAGGACAACACCAATGAGTTGTACAACACTTGCACAGCCACGTAAACTGTTAAGGAGCTTAAGGGCTCTAGAAAAGTCCTCAAATCCGTTTTCTCCCTGCTTTCCGGCCCTCGCAAACGGTGTTTTACGTTCGATAAATTCACGGTTGTCAACCAAAACGCGGTAACAAGACGAGGAGATACGCGATTTCATGATGACCCGAGACTCTAAAAACTTTCGAATGCCCATAGCGTCAATATCTTGCAAAATCTGGTCTTCCTTAGACATCTCTTTTTCGAGAAGATCTTCCGTTACTCTAATCGCACTTGATTCAGTGAAAATCTGGCCGCTTAGGTCCTTTATATGCAAGGATATGCTTGAGACTGAATTAAAGAGCTCGAGAGCAGGAAGAAGCGTGTCGAAAAAGGCTTGAAGTGCTTTAGGTAGCAGTTTGCAGGAATCGTCACAGTCGTCAGTATCTGAAAGCTGGAATACAGCCGAATTCTCTTGGAAATCATCAAAAGTAGCTGATATAACAATTCTTTGCCATTTTCGGGGGGTTTCTGCGTACAAAAGGAAGTATTGTTGTGTTCGATGAACCCCTGTTAATTTTCTTAGGGCAAGAGTAAATATCTTTTTGTTGAAGAGGCTCTCCGTGGAATATTGCTCAGGGTAGAAAGATGGTCTTAATTCGAAATGATAACCAGGTGAACCAGAAAACTTCGCACGAAGTCTGTCGATTGTTGATAGAGAGTGTCTTCAGAGAATCTTGAAACACAATCCAAAAACATGTCGACAGAGGCAGAATCATTGTCTTCAGCATTGGCTTGATCTAACGTAGTATTCACAGGCTCGCCAAAAAGGTTTATGCTGTTGCTTGATTCCACGATTGGGCTATTTTTTGGTTCTTTAGATGACTCATTTAGCAGTCTAATCTCGCTTAACTCCATGCGTTGCTCACCCAGCTCTTGGTAGATTTGAGCAAGGTGACGGCGAATCGAGGGATCTTCTAACATGAAAGCATGCTGTGTTTCCTGTATCCAGGATGTTATGCGCCAGAAAATCTGCCTGTTCGGAAGTGTCGAAGCCTCCGCAATATCGGTATCAAGTTCTAGAAGTAAAGAACCTTGGAATGCTCGACGAGATATTTCTGTTTTGCTATTATGAATGGAGGGGTCCTCAAAAAGACGACTAATTGGAAATCTTGCCTCTACTGGCTCATTCGTCCGTTTCACCAACTGAGATGTAGCAACCTTGCCTAACAAGTGTATGCTACAATGGCTTGAAGCTATCAATGTTGTCTGTAGCATAAGAGAGATGAATTGTTACTTACGCGGTGATAGCATCTAAAGCAATGCAAAGGGTAGTCTTTGTAGCTTCGAGGCGTCGCTGCAAGGTTCGTATCTCACTCTTTGTGAATAGAGACCATCTTAGGATTTTGGAATTGATTCGAAAACGTCTGTCGTTTGGAAAAGGCAGCAGCTGCTGTTGTATCTTGACCTTGAGTTCTCCTAGTATCACCCTACAGTGTTCAAGTGGATGAGCCAGATTTCCAATTGTCGTCAGCAATGCGTCGTCATAAGCGATGGCATCCTTGACGTCGACCTCCCGCAGGGTAACATTCAGAGAAGAGATAATGGCATAAAAAGCATGCACATCCTTAGAGACAGATTTTACCTCTTCAGGACATCTTCTGATGTCATTCACAAGCTCCAAGAATATCTTTGACGACTGGATGACTGCAGCTGTGATGCCCAGAACACCAGCAATAATGCTGAACGGGTCTGCCATCGCGGTGTCTTTAATCAGAGGGTTTTTAGCGCTAGCTCTTGCCAGGCAGTATCACAAACTCGCAGGGTTATTCTTCAAGTCGCAAGGACGTTCTGGTGTATTTGAAGGGCCAAAATTCGGTCAGATTGCCACTTGAAGCCTATCCTACTCTGCGGATAATAATGACGAGGCTGCAAGACTGTACAACAGTTAGCCATCTCGTCAATTTAAACATAAAACTTATGAGGCCGTGACTAGATCTAGTTAGTACCTAAATATATACCTGGCAATTGATCTATTCCTGAAACTAAGTGCATCTATCTTTTCGATTGGTTAAGTCTGGAGCTCGTCAGAGAGTCCTCGGACTGAAATAAGGATCTTGACAAATATCTCTAAGAACGTGGGTTCAAATTTGGACTTTAAGGATACCGAAATAACGATCAAGAGTCACCAGAAAGATCCGGACCACCTGACCTGGCTGAAATGATAGAGTTACTACGTACACGCCAAACCTATTGGCCGATAATGCTCTGACAAATGATTAGTCTTTATTAATTGCATGATTACCAGCCGCTCTTCCCGTCTTTAGCGCCTAAGCAGAGGCGGCGATACTGATTAACCAGATTGAGGCCTCCCTAAAGAAATCTTATGGGATAATACCTGGATAGTCGGACATAAGATTTTTTTTCCCCAGTTCCAGTTACGGCCTCCATCCTGAGCGGTGCTGCTTTAACTTGAGCCGAGACTGAGCCGATACTGAGCCGAGACTGAGCGCGTCTAAGCAGCCCTGAACAGAGGCTGAGCAGACGACTGAGGAGTTAGTACGACCTAGTTCTAGTCTAACTGGGCCTGGCTTTTGGGCTTTCGCACTCGGTTGCACTGCTCACTTTATTCTATTAGCTTTTCAGCCAAGCCTGTTACCTGGGGCTCAGCTGCTTCCTTCGAGATCCTCTTGCTCATAATTAACTTACAAAAAGTGGGTCAGGACAAGACTAAAGACTTCTCTGTATTGATATCGTAGTTTACTATCCCTTGTGAGCCCGAATAGACCCCTGTATAAGACTCCTGCCGTTGGGGGTTTAGCGTTAAGAGATACCCGCGTTTAGCGGTGAGGTTATTTCTGCAGCCTTAGCATTAGGAACATCAAAATTATGAAAGAGTGCTGCAGTCTTAGCGTTAAGAATATCAAAATTCGTTAAGACCTAGCCATAGCCTTAGCGTTAAGAACACTAAAAGTAAATTATAAAAATAAAACTTTAATTATCTATATTAGGCTAATTATTAAGGCTAGAGATCTATAAATAGTATTAATTAATAGCGCTTAAAAAGCCTTATATAAATAAGTTTTTCCTAATTTAATAAAGCTATTATTTATAATAAAAAATAAAAAAAAATAAAAATATAATCAAGGATTTATATTAATCTATTTATAGACTTTTAAAAAAAGCTTATTCAAAAGTTATAACTAAAGTAATTAGTAAACTATTTAGAAGTTAAAAGTTTAAAGCTCTTTTATTTCTTATTTTTATTAAAACTTAATATCTTATATTAATTAATTCTATTACTTTATATTATCTTTACCCTTTTATTTCTTTATTAAATTAACTCGAAATTAATTTAAATTAATACTAGTCCTTAGAGTTATCTATTTAATTCTTCTTTCTTTTAGAAATCTTTAAAAACTATTAAAAACTCTTTAAAATTATTTAAAATATTAATTTCTCTATAAAATTTAGCTTAATCTATATTAAATATATATATTAATACCTTAATTGCCTTATATAAACGCACTATTAGTAAGCTATTTATTAAAAGTGCTAAAAATAAGCTAAGTTCTATTAAAAATCTTAAATTCATATATTTTATAACTAAAATATATATAAAAAGTCTCTTAAAACGCTTAGTTCTTAATTAATTAAGACGAAATTTCTTTTTTAAATAACTATAGCTCTAATAGTTATAAAGAATTTTCTCTAGTTTATTTTAGCCTTAATTTAAAGCTAACTATTATAGTATATAAATATACTAAATCCAGACAGGCACTATCCCTTGTATTACTAAATTAGTGAGCTTCCTTATTAGGACTGGTATGCTACAACTTTAAATCATTTAAAGTGTGTTTTAGCGGATAATTTTGCTGCAGTCTTAGCAAGAAGAACACTAAAGTTGATTTACTTTAAAGTACGTTTTCTTTCTGTATTACCCTAATTATTCAACTTGAGACTTTATAAATAGTATTATTTAATAGCTCTTAAAGAGTTAAGTATTCCTTAATCTTAAAATTTATTAATATCTTCTTTTAAAGAAGAGAAATTCTTAAAATCATTTTATTTTATAAACTTTTTAATGTTCTTCTTGCTAAGACTGCAGCAGAATTCTCAACTTTAATTCATTTAAGCTTATCAGGAGTACTAAACCACTTAAAGCAACATTACTAATTTAGTAACACAGGGGATAAAGCTGCCTAGCGCTCTGGAAGGAACTATAATAGACTTAGACAGGACTAGACTCTAAACTATATACAAGGTCACATCTAGACAACGTAATAATCAGAGGTGATCAGGATGAGAATTCATAAGCAATAATCAGAGATGATTAGGATAATCAACTCTGAGCACGAATCTTCTAGTCTATATAAGCATGCTTATTTCCTAGATAGTTTTATAGTCTTTGTAATTAACTTATATTATTAGCTCTTACTTAGAAGTTAAAGACATCTTGTAATTTACTTATATACTTCTTATTTTATAACCTAAACTCTTTAGACCTTACTTTTAGTTAAGACTTATCTTGATTTATTAAGCCTTAATACTAATTAAATTTAATATCTTTACTAAAATCTTATTTTAAACTAAACTTTATTAAAAATATAGTCTTCTTTATTTTATAGTATCTTTTTATTAAAATTCTATAAATAAAAAGCTAAAAGTAAAGTTTATTCTCAAGAAATAAACTAAAAAATAATTAATAGTTTATATAAGTAAGTAAGAATAGCTTTTTTTATTTATTTTTAGCTTTTGTTAAGTAACACAGCTTAAACGCTAGTATAGCCGTATAGCTAATAACCTCTTTATAAGGCAGCGCAAGCTGCTGTAACTGCTAAGAGGATTTAGCTATACATGTATAGCCAAATCCCAAAGCGGCTTAGCGCTACTCTAGCGTGTTACATGCCTTGATTTCCTGTGCCATAGCACAGAAAATCCTATTTAGGTAGCTACGAGAAAACCTAGATAAGAGAATGCATAATATTACAGAGTAAGAACTTTATCAGGTTATAAGCCCAGCTTCGCGATTACTGAATAGGTAAGCAAGGAGGCAGCTCTGGCAAGCTTTACTTCTCTTGAAAAGGTCAGATAGGCTCTTACCCAGCTTATCCTATCCTTCCTTTAATTGAATAAGTACGCCAGGTGGCTAAACTGCCACATCCTTCCTTTAGTGCTCTCTGTTGCACTTATTCTGTTCAAGCGGAACTCTATTTGTGCTCTGCTCTATTTACTGGCTATTATATAAGCCAATTAACTCTGTTCACAAGAGAGAAACCTAGAACATTTAGAAAAGGCCTAAGAAGCTTCTTTGTTAAGCTTATTCTGTTAGGAGGTGTTACGCGGAAGGCCGTGCAACAGAGTATGGGGGTGCTATAGAGATAGCGGAGAGTGAGTTAGTAAGGATAGTATAGTCTTTACTTGCATAAATAATGAAGTTAGCTATTAGTTCTTAGATAATTTAGAGGCAAATAATAATAATAGGCTTTCTATCCTTACTAGATTAATAGAATATAACTAATTAGCAAGGAATGTCTAGAACTAGATTCTAGGCTTTAATATAGTCGGTACTAATAAGCAGGCTAGTGCCTAAGTCATCAAATATAAATGCTTTAATCTTGAGTTTCAAGAAGACTCCTTTGTTGCTTCAGAGATAGAGAACGAACTTTACTAGCTTGGAGACCTTCTTTCTGCCTTTGATATCACGAATAACTAGATGTTTAATAGGTTTGATAATGTGAGGCACACTATCAAGTAGTTTGCGGTTTACTGCTAAGCGACTAAAACTGAAGTCTATAACAGCAGTAATAGCTTGTATAATATCGCTGTTAGCGCTAAGATACGCTTTAACGCAGTCCCATCTGACTTTGTATGATATTGCCTCGCCATCAATGAGCTTGCCAACTATCTTCTCCACCTTCCATTGTTTCATTCCTTGTTCGTCAATATGATCTGGCGGAGGGGAGAGGTTTCGTTGATAGGGATCATCATCAGGGCTCGGAGCAGGGTCGAGATGGATCTTGCTGATCACTTGGTGGATTCTCCAGGCCGCAGGCAGGTCTATTCGTAGTGCGTTGCCCTTACCAACAGCCTCAAGGATTTGAAAAGCTCTAGTATAGCGTGGGGAGAGTGCGAATTTGCGTGTAGAAGGCAGCGAGTAGCTCTTTGGCAAAAGGCGCAGCCTAGCCTAGCCAGAGTCAAAAGATCGATCTTGGATTGCTCTGTTTATCATTACTTCTACAGTAATCTGAAGCCCTTCTGCAGCTATATCTCTAGCAGCTTCGCGCTCTTATACTAACTGCTCTGGCACTTTTAGCATTAGTAGCGTTAGCTAAGTGCTAGGAGTAAAGCTGTAAATGACTTAAAATAGGGTCTGAGTAATAGCAGAGGAGTAATTACTATTAAAGTAAAACTCAATAATAAGTAGGAATTCTTTTTAATTGCCTTATATAATATTAATGTAGAAGCGCAGCACTATTTCTAGCTCTTGATTGACTCGTTTTGACTGGCCATCTGCTAAGGAATAATACGCTATAGTATAGATTAGCTAAGTGCTAGCTAATTCGAAAACCTTCTTCTATAGCGCGGTAGTGAATCAAGCATCCTAATTAATAGTAATAGTATTAAGTAAGCTATAGCCTCTTCTGCAAAATATATTATCTTAGAGGCATTTGACCTAATCCTTAGCTGACTATACCTTCTTCCCTGTTTCAAAAGCAACATGTTTTAAGAATTAATCTATAATAATAAGTATTATAT